GGGACACACCCAAGGAGGTGTTTATTGAAATATGCTCATTTTTAACTATTTTCAGACCTAGAACTTCTTTATTAATTTACCTTCACTTTTGTAATTTAATTTTAACTCTGAGGCATATCAATATAATAGACGAAAACAATAATTTTGCAAGGAACACTTATTTATTTATATATATTTTACAACATAATACAACACAACAAATGAAATTTCTCTAGTCTAGGATTTAAATTAAGGATATTTGGCTGTTGTTCCAGCCATTTTTGAAACCCCCTTCTTATCTTATATGTGAAAATGTGTTTAATTTTAGAAACGGGACATAAGGGCGTCCCGAGAGACTATTCAGGACATGGGGTACAATCGTGAAAAAAAAGGACAATGCTGTTTTTACGGGACGTTTAGTCACCCCAGTGTACGTCCATACCAGATCTGATGGTAGGCTGTTCAATATCGCCCGCCTTCGTGCAAAGGCCAACGTAAAAAAGGTGCTGATTCGTGAACTGCTGTTCGCTGACGATGCCGCCTTAACATCTTACACAGAAGAGGGTCTTCAGGGGCTGGTTAATCGTCTATCACACGCTTGTAAAGTGTTTTGACTTTCTATGAGTCTACCGAAAACACATGTAATGATGCAAGAAGCACCACCCCTCCAATCATAACTATTGAGGGTCATAATCTTTCGGTTGTAGAGCATTTCTCATACCTTGGAATCAATATTTCTAATTCTCTCTCCCTCGATTAAGAGATAAATATCAGGATCGCAAAAGCAGGAGCAACTATGGCAAACGGGTGTGGAATAATCTCAATCTAACAGAAAAAAAAACAACAAAAAAACTATGTGTCTATCAGGCATGTGTGCTTAGTACGCTCCTATATGGCAGTGAAGTGTGGACCACATATACCAGTGCCAGTCAGGAGCGGAAACTCAACAGCTTCCACCAAAGATGTCTGCGTCGCATTTTACGCATTCGATGGCAGGACAAGGTGCCTAACACGGAGGTCTTGGAACGTGCACACATGTTTAGCATATTTTCCTTTCTTCGTATGAGGCGCCTTCGCTGGTTAGGCCACGTAAGGAGAATGGAGGAAGGCCGTATCCCAAAAATACTGCTGTATGGAGAGTTTGCAGAAGGAACAAGACTTATTGGACGACCACGCCTGAGATTTATGGACGTTTGCAAAAGGAGCATGAGGGAAGCCCATATTAAAAAATAACGAATGGGAGCTCATTGCCAAACAACGTTCCAGCAGGCGAACAGTAGTGTATGGATGAGTAAAAAGGCAGAAGATACGCGAAACGAGGCCCTTGCAACAAAAAGAACAATACGGAGTCAAATTCTTACCAGGAATCCATATTCTCCTGCGAGAAATGCAGGCAAGATTGTCATTCTAGGATTGGCCTAGTGAGCCACTCGTCAAAGTGTAGGACTATATGGCTACTCCATCGTCTCGCGAAGACGGAAGGATGCCATATATAAAATATATATCTTTAAAAAATAGCTTTGTTAACGTAAGCTATATATTTTGACACTCTTTCAAAACATCCCAACTTTGCGCACCGTAAATATCTGGGCCCATGCTTCGGCTCTGTTTGCCTTCAACTTCAATTGCTATTCAAGCGTCGCACAACGTGTTCAGTGTGTTTCTTACTATTTCATTCACAAGGCTTAAACGCAGTCTCTACTATATTATGAGATTAATTATACAAATAAACACAAAGAAATTGTGTAAGTTAGATATAAATATTTATTATTTATTTATCAATTTAAAAGTAACCACTTTAAATGGTTTAATGCATTTAATGGGGAGTTGTTTTTTAAAATGCACAACTCTTTATCATTCAATGAACTGACTTTTGAAAGTTGGTGGCATTCTCAAACATGTTACCCGCTTTTGGTGTCACCCAGTGGCATAGCTGGGGTTGGTGTCACCCGGTGGCATAGCTGGGGTTGGTGTCACCCGGTGGCATAGCTGGGGTTGGTGTCACCCGGTGGCATAGCTGGGGTTGGTGTCACCCGGTGGCATAGCTGGGGTTGGTGTCACCCGGTGGCATAGCTGGGGTTGGTGTCACCCGGTGGCATAGCTGGGGTTGGTGTCACCCGGTGGCATAGCTGGGGTTGGTGTCACCCGGTGGCATAGCTGGGGTTGGTGTCACCCGGTGGCATAGCTGGGGTTGGTGTCACCCGGTGGCATAGCTGGGGTTGGTGTCACCCGGTGGCATAGCTGGGGTTGGTGTCACCCGGTGGCATAGCTGGGGTTGGTGTCACCCGGTGGCATAGCTGGGGTTGGTGTCACCCGGTGGCATAGCTGGGGTTGGTGTCACCCGGTGGCATAGCTGGGGTTGGTGTCACCCGGTGGCATAGCTGGGGTTGGTGTCNCCCCCCGACTTCCACGATGAATTTCTTCTTGTTAAAAGAAGTCCACACAATAACAATGAAAAGAACAAAAACAAATTAATTGAATGTCAGGCGGTATATATAGATTTAAGAACTGTAACATGAACTTAGAATCGACCGACGACTTCGTGGATGGTATCAATGGAAAGCTTTATGTCTCAGAATTTAGATAACTATAGCTTCCTTCCACTTACAACAGTGGTTCTCAACCTTTCTAAATGCCGTGTCCCTTTTATACAGCTCCTTATGTTGTGGCGACCCCCAGCCATAAAATTATTTTCGTTGCAACTTCATAACTGTAATTTTGCTTCTGTTATGAATCATAATGTAAATACCTGATATGCAGGATGTCTTTTCATTGTTACAAATTGAACATAATTAAAGCATAGTGATTAATCACAAAAACAAAAGGTCATTATATGTTGGGAAATATTTATTTCTAATTACAAATAAATGAAAATTTGTCTTGAAACATGGTGTAGCTTAGGTAACCGTTTTAATATAACAACAGTAAACTACTTTGCTACATTTTGCGACAGTATGCGTAAAAAGCCGACGTCAAGGCGAAGGTTGAGATTGTTTCTTTCTGACCAGATCAGAAATGCTCGGGACAGTCTTTGCAAGAGAACAACGAAGATGAACTTCCACAAAAAGTCTACCTCTGTATTTAGAATTGATTACCAACAATCTAAAAAAAAAACCCGTTTCACAACGATATTTCGTTGGAAATGAAAGAAGAGGGCACCACACTGTCTTAGACAGAACAGGATATGACTGCAAACACTTGATCCAGAATTTTGTAGCTGGCATTGGAAATCAGTTCTCGCTGCATCGCTGTTAGTAAGTTTGATGAACTCCTCTTGAGTTGACTTAGGAACATCTTCAACGTTGTCTGTGAATGGACTTCTGACAAGTGCAAATGGGGTGTCAGGTAGATTTGGAAAGTAGGATGAAATTTCGTCTGCAAGTGTTCCTTCACAGAATTTATCATCGTAATCCTTTGTCTGGTTTAATGTCATGTGCCTCAAAGAAGCCAGATAAGATCGGCAACATGTACATTTTATTTTTATCCAATTTTATTTTAAAATATCGAATCTTTTCAGACAAATCGAAGTATGTTGCATTTTGTCCATGCAGTAATAAATTTAACACATTCAAGATGGCAAAGATGTCAACCAAGTAAGCTATTTTCTACAGTTCACTTTTATCACTAATAAGAACTTCGTACTTCGGTCTTGCCTTCTGATTAAAAAAAAGTTTTGAGGTCGCCTCAAAGCTCAAAAACACGTTTTAAAACTTTTCCTCTCGACAACCATCTCACTTCAGAGCATTAATCAGCGCATCCAACTCGTTGCACAGTTGCGAAAACAGTCAACTGTTTAAAGTGCTCGCCTTTACAAAATTGACAGAACTTATGACACTTTTCGTTACTTCTTGTAAATCTTGTGGAAGCATATTTTCCGATGAATTATACAGTGAGTTCTGATGACTTTTAGTGACTCATTCAGTACCAACCTTTGAAATCCATAGCGACATCCTAGCCTAGCTGGAGCACCATCTGTGCAAACACCACAAACATTTTCCCAAGAGATCTTATGGTGGACATACTAGCATAGCTGGAGCACCATCTGTGCAAACACTACAAAACTTTTCCCAAGAGATCTTATGCTCTTTCAGAAATAAACCAGCTGTGTCAAATACATCACGTGCAGTAGTTGTCGTTTCAAGAGGTTTGCAAAAAAAGAAACTCATCTTTAAAGTCGCAATCATTTATATACCTCACGTAAACTAGTAACTGTGAACAGTTTGCAACGCATTTAGATTCATCGAGCTGGATAAGAAACATTGGAAGTGGAGCAGATTTAAGGTCCTGCATTACCTGATCAAGAATATCAACAGACTTGTCATTTATTCTTCTGCGGACAATGTCGTTAGATAAGGAAATTGGACTCAGTTTCGTAAAAAAATTCGTCTCACATCATAATGAAAATGTGTGACATGTCTGGGTTTTTAGCCGGACCAAATCAATCGGTTTCTAAGACCATCGGCATCGGAAATGGTTGTTTTCCAATGGTAGTACGCGACCCCCGTGAAAAGGTCGCGCGACCCCCAAAGGGGTCGCGACCCACAGGCTGAGAACCGCTTACTTACGATAAATACCGAACACTACAGCCGGTGTTGAATCATGGTCAAAATCGGTGTTTTTTAAATCTAATTTTAGGTCCATCTCATTTCTGAAGCACCAACCTTGAACTTTTAATAAAGCACGCCTTTGGTTTGGTTACTAGTGTTGAACATGTACGTGTGACCGGTTGTCCTTTTAGGGAATTCAGTTAGACCGAGCTGTGTGTGCTCTGTTAGACCGATCAGTGTGTGCTCTGTTAGACCGAGCTGTGTGTGCCCAGCAATGTGCAATTTTTTAAATTTGGTTTCATCCCCTGAGATAGTGTTACCCGGTGCGGTCTGCCCCCTCCCCCACGCACCGACCCAACTACGCCACTGGGTTCACCTCAGGTAATACACGAATAGACTAACATTGATATGTAACATGGTCATTAACAATGAATTCGTAATGCAGATATTATCAGAGAAAAATATGTTCACGCTGCTGTGTTTAATATTTTATTTAAATAACGGTCATTTTTCGTGGCCAGCACTTTTGTTGACGATCGAGTTAAAATAATCAGGCATTGCAAGACCTCGGCGTACAGTGTCAATAGCTTTGTTGTCAAGCGTGATCACTCTCCTCAGAGCGTTATCAAATAATTTTGCAGCTACAATTTTTAAGGTCGCCCTATCAAATCTGTGAATTGAAACAAATATTAAATAAAACACAGCTGGTTACAAAAACAAGTTTTTGGGACTTTTCCAATAATAAGTATACGCAATACACTATTTAAAAACAAACTTAAATTCATCTATTCCTCTAAGTCATCTATTTCTATATATCTTTTCAGATTAAAAATAGACCCCCCCCCCCCACCTAATTTTTTAATCAAAAGGCATAGTTCAGTGGATGACGTTTTATTTCACATTCATAAATTTGAATTTTAACAACTGAAATGTTTACCATTTTATCTCTGACCACACAAACCAAATCTACAAGTTTTTTTAATTAAAATTAACCGCAACTGAAAAAAAAAAAAAAAAAAGAAATGAAAGCCTTGTGAAAAACGAACAACAAGCAATAGAGCGAACAACAAGCAATAGAGCGAACAACAAGCAATAGAGCGAACAACAAGCAATAGAGCGAACAACAAGCAATAGAGCGAACAACAAGCAATAGAGCGAACAACAAGCAATAGAGCGAACAACAAGCAATAGAGCGAACAAAAAAACACAGTTGCAGGCCACTTCCCGAATGAAAACAATGCAAGTTTGACTAATGTCAAAATTTATGTTTTGCTTTTTAAAAAAAAAAAAGATTAAAAAAAAGCAATAGAAAGCAAAACAACAACAATAATTATGTAACATTTAGAATTAAAAAAAAATTCCAAGTCTGCCTTTATTTCTAAAAAAGAAATTATATCTGGTGTATCCACCAACCCGTGACTTCTGTGGCCATCCGACAACTGATCACCTAAGCTCCCGGCTGCTTCAGGTTGATCGGGACACATGCAGGCAGCGTCCAATGCGCATTTGGCCCAGGGTTCTATAAGGGCCCGGATGACAAATGGAAGATTGCCGAAGATTCCGTTGCTGCCGTCAAGCTCAGGAAAGTGCCTAAAGGCGCACAGCTCTTCTCCAAAAAAGTTGGACATCTTAAAAAGATGGGTGAAAAAATGGTAATGGTGGCTGCACATCTGACGAGTTGAAAAAAAAATTTCAGCAAATAAACAAAATTTAACTAGACTGATACTCAAATATCTAAAAGCCTTAAGTCCAAGTGCATTGTTCACCTATAAGTCCCTGCCCGTCTGCATTGTTTAAAAGTTGTTCACATGCCATGAAATCCATAAATAAGACAATATAAATAAATCAAAGCCCGCACCTGCTTAAGTCTGTCAACTGACACGTTGGGTGGCACGTCGCTCACGTGATATTGTAGGCCGAATGCTGCCCCTCTTTCCAAAAGTGGCTTGATGTGACTCGTCCAACGAACCGACGAATCTTGGTAGACGAGACCTTTACGAACTTTACCAATGAGTGCCTTTAAAATGTAATTTAAAGAACTGTTACATTAGAACCGTTACAAAAGGATAGAACCGTTACAATAGGATGAACTGTTACAATATGATGTAACTGTTCCATTGGAATGAAATGAACTGTTATAATAAGATGGAACTGTTACATTAGGATGGGACTGTTACAATAGGATAGAAATGTTACCGTTGGATGGAACTGTTACAACATAATGAACTGTTACAACAGGATCGAATTGTTATATTAGGATGAGACTGTTACATTAGGATGGGACTGTTACAATAGGATAGAACTGTTATCGTTGGATGGAACTGTTACAGTAGGATATAACTGTTACAATAGGATGGAACAGTTACACCCGGATAAACTGTTACAATAAAATGGAACTTTTACACTAGGACGAACTGTTACATTAGGATAGGACTGTTACAATAGGATGGAACGGTTACAGTAGGACGAACTGTTACACTAAGATAGAACTGTTACATTTGGATGAAATTTTACAATAAGATGGAAGTGTTACACTAGGACGAACTTTAACAATAGGATGGAACTGTTACAATAGGATGGAACTGTTACAATAGGATGGAACCAGTCTTTCTTTCAATCACGTACCCCGCCCCCCCCCTCATATTTTCGGGTAAGGAGGGCCAGTGATCAATGGCGTAGCTAAGGGGAGCAGAGAGAGGTAGATGTCGCCGGGAACCAGAAAAGCGGGGCTTCAGAATGGTCTTGGATTGTATTTAAAGGATGAATAACAGGGGTACAGAGTTCCAAACAAATCCTGTCCCATGGCGCCAAACACTCCAGTTTCGCTTCTGCCAGGGGGTTAGAAAAAAAAAAGGGGGGGGGAGTGAATTTGGGATGGGCCGTACAGTTATTAGTTTTTTTCGTTATTTGGTGGCGCGCCATTTTCGGAAAACTGCAGAGTTTGTATCATGAAGGGATTCGCGTCAAAACACTTGGTCCGATCAGAACGGCACTAAGACTAGCTACACCAACAGGCTGTGTATCTATCGGCACCAACATTTTCGACTAGGACCAGCTATACAGTTATTTGTATCGGAAAGTAGGTCAGAAATGGACGGCATCTATAGCCTTGGTCTTGAACTTCCGTTTTTATAACGGCCTGATAAATGGGCATTTGTTTCTCAGCTTCCTCTGACCGATAAAGGATCTTGCTGGCTGTCGTCCATGGTTCGCCTTGTAAAAGTTATGTGGTGGGGTGGGTGAATATGCATTTTTTGCTGTTCTTTATTTCATAAATGTATTTTATTTTAATGTCATGATTATGTCTCTTTTGATACAATTTTTATGTACAGCGCGGTGAGCCCAGCCCTAGGCTGGGGTACCGCGCTATATAAGACCCCTTATTATTATTATTATTATTATTATTTGGAGGTCTTAGGAGCCCTTCCCAAGGAAAATTTTGATTATTTCAAAAGCAAGAGGTACATTTTGGAGTACACCCGCAGTCCGTGTTTATAAAAAAAAACAACCTATTTGATCAGGTGAATGATTTTTTCAAGCGCCCGTGGGGAGGCATTATGGCCCCCAACCGCCACACATAAACTGAATTATCTACTGTTGTGGTGCGCTCAGGGAACTCACTTGGCATAAGCTTAGATTCAACCATGTACTGTGCCACTGATCGACGTGAGAGAAGTGGGAGCAGAAATTAAGGGTACCGAAGACTTGAATGCAGTGAAGCATTTTGAATGAGGTATTTCTTTCAGACAATTGGGGAGCGGCATTTTAGACTTTCGGGTGTGAAGCAATGTTCCCTCTTAGGTTTGCTGGTTCGTGTGCAAAATCATACAGTTGTGTGCACAATTTTACAGCATCAAATTTTTGTGTGTGCAAAATTTTACAGCCCACAAACACACACTAACATGGAAATTTGCTGCGCGCTATTCAAAACTGCTGCGCGGCGTCTGTGAGATAGCAGCGCGGCCACGCAGCCGCGCATCCTAAAGGGACCATTGGTTTGAAGCCCCAAAATTAGTCATAAAAACGATCAGTGACATCGCTAACTCCGCCCCAGCTAAATATAAAATAAATTCATTCCCTTTGTGACACCCTTTAGGTTATGATTATTTCCCCTAGCCTAGTCTCATCCCTTAAATGTTTATAGACCCCATAACATTTTTGATAGCTTCAAAAGGAAAGAATGCATTACAGTACATACCTGAGTTCCGTTTTGCATCTTTCTACATTTAATCGGAGAGCAACGGAAGAGATGCTAGTTAAAATATGGGTGTCACTTGACCCCAGAACGAGCGTGAAGCCCCTGCAACGTGAGGCCCCTGCAACGTGAGGTCCCTGCAAGTGAGGCCCCTGCAATGTGAGGCCCCTGCAACGTGAGGCCCCTGCAACGTGAGGCCCCTGCAATGTGAGGCCCTGCAGCGTGAGGCCCCTGCAACGTGAGGCCCCTGCAACGTGAGGGCCCTGCAATGTGAGGGCCCTGCAATGTGAGGGCCCTTGCAACGTGAGGCCCCTGCAATGTGAGGCCCCTGCAACGTGTGGCCCCTGCAGTGTGAGGCCCCTGAAACGTGAGGTCCCTGCAACGCTACGGCTGCGGGGAGCCTTGGATGTTTTAGGGATTTAAAAGTTGTGATGTGGCAAATTTTTTAATCATCAACATTAAAATACTCTCTTACAAGTGATCATCAATTTCTCTCCAATTTTATTATCACTTTTTGTAGTTTAAAATATTAACTTTGTATTAATAATATTTAAATTCCCCCCCTTAACAGTACGCACCACAGAATTATGTGGGAGGCTTGTTTTGGTCTTGAACTTCCGTTTTTATAACGGCCTGATAATTGGGATTTGTTTCTCAGCTTCCATTTCTAACATAACTTAGAGTGCTTGCTGTTCTGAATATATTTTAGAGGAACCTTGGCCGTCTCTATTCTCTAAATACTTTATCTGGATGGTAACCTCATTCACTCTGTCTCTTGTACTGTAACAATAAGGTTAGAATAACACGTTGATGGCTAGATTTCACTTTAATGATCTGCTCTACTGTTCACATTCATGACCTTGACTCTGCTCGTGCTTGTCTCTCTATCTCATTACCGTCTTCTCACTAAACTCGACTAAACTCCTGACCGTTCTCCCTCAACTGCCACATCTCAACTGGGCTCTGCCCTCCTCAACTTTCAAGTGTCCCCAAACCTCTAGCTTATATCTAGCCCTCATCATACGAGAAACTGTTGTTGTTGTTCTTCCGTCGAAATCGACTGGGACCATCGAGCCATCCGGTTAGGGGGAGGGTGGGTTACGGTGAGCACGTAGGTGGCTTGCTAGACCGTTCCGTGCTCGGAATAATCTTTGGTACCGCGGGCAGGGGAGAGTTGCTGCAGACGGTGACATAATGTTGCTCTTTCGGGCCAGCCTGCGTGTCTCAGCTCTGAGTATCCTATTATCTTATTGGGATTTTGCCCCCTTCTTGACAGCTGCTCCCTACTTGGATCTGTCCTGGGCTGTCTGCACCCATTGAGTAGGGTTGATGCTGAAGGCCTTTAGTTTCACTTTCAGTGAGTCTTTGTAACGCTTTTTTTACCTCCGTGGGAGCGCTTGCCTATTGTGAGTTCTCCGAAGAATATCTCTTTTGGGAGCCGGTGGTCTTCCATACGGGCTACGTGTCCCATGCAACGGAGTTGAGACTACATCAGGGTGTAGAAGATACGAGGTAGGTTTGCTCTAGCGAGGACCTCTGTGTCAGGGACTTTGTCTTGCCACCTGATGGCCAGGAGTTTCCTGAGACAGTTTGTGTGAAAATGATTCAGTTTCTTGGCGTGACGCTGGTAGACTGTCCACGTTTCACATCCGTAGAGCAATGTCGAGAGGACTATTGCGCTATAGACCTTGATTTTCGTTTCTCGTCTGATACCTCTCATGTCCCAAACAGTGATGCGGAGCCGGCCAAATATGGCACTAGCTTTTGCGAGTCTGGCATTCATTTCACCATCCATGACGACAGATCTGTAGAGGATGCTGCCTAAGTAAGTAAATTTATCCATCGGGTTGAGACGCTGTCCACTGATGATGATGTTGGATTGAACGTAGGGCTTACTAGGAGCTGGCTGATATTTCACCTCAGTCTTCTTTGTGTTGATTGTGAGGCCAAAGTCATTGCATGCCTCAGAGAAGATAGCAACGCTTTGTTGCATGACGGCTTCTGAAGCAGCTTTGAGGGCACAATCGTCCGCAAACAGAAGCTCGTTGATAATGTTATGTTTGACCTTGGTTTTAGCTTGAAGCCCCCTAAGTTTGACGACTGATCCATCAGTGCGAAACCGAAATGGGAAGCCCGTGGTGGATTTAGACAGCATTGCAGAATACAAAATACTGAAGATTGTTGGAGCAAGGATACAGCCCGCTGCACACCATTTGTGACGGGGAATCCTTGAGATGACTGACCGTTTTCCTGCACATTAATGATGAGGCCATTGAAAGACTGCCCCAGTTCCCAACGAACAAGTCAATGGGCGCTGTCCCAACTTTGGTCGAGATACAGACAGCAATCCGCCAAATGTCCAGTGGCAAAGTACCTGGCTCCGACATGATCCTTGCCGAAATCTACAAAGAGGGTGGACAAGCGATGACGGATAAGCTATTGCGTCTATTCCAGATCATCTGGCAGACGGAAACTGTACCACACGATCTCAAGGATGCCTCGATTATCCACCTGTACAAACACAAAGGAAACGACTGTCCATTGCAGGCAAGATCTTGGCCCGAGCCCTTCTGAACCACCTGAATGCACATCTGGAGCTAGGTCTCCTACCCGAAAGTCAATGCGGTTTCCGCAAAAAACGCGGAACTATTGATATGGTGTTTGCTGCTAGGCAGCTTCAAGCGAAATGTCAGGAGCAAAATACAGACCTATATTCCACATTTATCGACTTGAATAAGGGTTTTGACAGGGTCAATAGAGGTGGCCTGTGGAAAATCATGAAGAATTACGGATGCCCAGACAAGTTCACCAATATCATCTGTCAGCTACATGATGGCATGATGGCCCGAGTGCAAGAAAAACTTCCCATCACTAGAATCCCATTGGTTATTGGCTTGCTACGTTAATTGAGACTACATTGTCCCTAACCAGATCCTTCAACTCGAACGCCTATTGAATGTCTCTACCCACTTATTAACACCGATCAAGTTTGGATTTCTCTACCGCGATACTTAATTAACTAGCCCTACGCAGGGTCTGCATGGACACTACTCAAATGTCAACAGACTACCAAAAAGTAATTAGTCTAACTTATTCGGGAGGATGTCCATACCTCTCCCTTAGTGTACGCGGCTTGGTTCCCAGGTTATGTCTTGCCCATCTATAAAAAAAATGCCAAAGTCTTGGTATGTTAAGGGTTAAGGAAAACTCTGAGTAATACGTTCCCTTATGAAATTTGTTCCGTGGCTTCACTAAAACATAATATACTGGTGGGGGTTTGAGATTACCCTCTTAAAACCCCGGCTAGTATAGTGCATGGACAACCAGCGCCATCTGCTGGGCTGTGCCAGCTAGTACATGGGCAACCAGCTCCACCTGCTGGACTGTGCCAGCTAGTACACAGGCAACCAGCGCCGCCTGCTGGGCTGTGCCAGCTAGTACATGGGCAACCAGCTCCACCTGCTGGACTGTGCCAGCTAGTACACAGGCAACCAGCTCCACCTGCTGGGCTGTGCCGACTAGTACATGAGCAACCAGTTCCATCTATTGAGCTGACCCATATAACATTGTCTTCGCGTGGGGCTCTCCCATCGCCATGGCCTCCCCTGAAACATCTATTCGGTTCTAGAGTTTCTGGGACCCGGCTGTAGTACCGGAAGGGTCGGACCCTGTGATTGTCTAGCCCATAAGCATGTGTTGATAGGTAAATACTAGGTACGCATTTGAGTCACCAGACTCTGCTGTCGGCGACCCAGCTTCCACCAAGGGTTCTAGTTTGCTAGGAAGCGGCATGTTAGTGCATACACCTCTGGCTTTCGTGCTGTCTTCCCACTGTCTTCCCACCTCCTGCACCATTTTGATTGGAAATGGCCGGCCAGCCAGTTTTTAATACCTAGATAAGTGACTGGTACATCTCGCCGAGGCTGGGCAGCCTCGTGTTTTTTGCCGGAGAGTCTGCTTTTTCATCTTCCCCGACATTTACAGAAAATAGAGTAAATCTTCACCAAAGTTTAAATAAATATTTAATGTTAACATAGAATTAAAGCGTGATGTAACCTTTGAAATGACCCATGGTCTAATGAGAATAGCTTAAATGGCGGATATTTCAGTTGGTGTATACTGACCCGAATAATGAGAGGTTTCCAGAAATAGCAAAACCGGTCTTCCAACAGCGGACGGAACTTTTCGAATGGGAACCTGATGACATGACACCGGCAGTATTTCTCTGTCTACGAACAATTAGGATAGAGTAAACATAATGATATTAAATTAACACGGTTGAATGCAGATTGTATCATTGTGCTACAAGTGATGATTTCCCAATAAACAAAATCTTAATAAAGATAAGATTTAAATTTTTAAACATCAATTTGATATTATTTAAGTTCTATTGGCAGCTCAGCTACCACCCACCCCAAAAAACAAAGTTTTGCTGATAAATCCTTTTTATTTACATGCATTTTTGTTAAAAAATATGTCACTGGAGTGATTAATTATTAAGCAGTTGATTAAAGAATTGCACACATTTTCAGTAGAAGATGTAAATATAAGTTTAACTAACCAAACAGTTCAGCAATTGGATTACTTTCAGACCCGGTTCATTACAGGCACTATACATTTTTAAATTTAAGAAGCGGTTATGTTAATTTGTAAACTTCTGGCGAAAACACGTTTAATATTTCCTTCATTTTCCCCTTAAAAAATATTTTTCAGTTTTTACTGTAATGGATTTAAGTGGGAGTAAAGCGGTGCAAAACTATTAATTAATAGGTGTTCATCTGTATTACCTTTCTTAAATCTTTGACACTAACAAGTATTTTGAAAAAAACTGGAACATTTTTTTTTTGGGGGGTGGGGGTGTGGGGGGGGTTTGGGTGTTGAGAAATGGGGCTAACAATTTTATAAAATGTGTTGTCTCATAAGCATATTACATGATTCTATAATAAAAAGGTACCATGTAATTCAAAATTAAACTCAAGTTCAGACTTTTGCAATACCCACCCCTCCCCCCAAAAACCCTAAAAAAAAAAAAAAAAAAAAACAACAAATACAAAGCCGTTTCGTACATGAAATGTTTATAAACTGTAAATCTATTCATAATAAGAATGTGTGTGCTTGTTATTACATAATTTAAGCCCTGGCAGGCATTTTTTAGAAGGAACAAAGGAGAATAAACAACACGCACGTACTGGACCCTGGCATTTGATGTCTTGAATGTCATGGACAGTGACACCTCATTGTATGAATGCCATGGACCCTGACATACCGTGGTATAAATATCATGAACGCTGACACGTCATGGTATGAATGTCACGGACACGCACACCCCATGGTATGAATGTCATGGACACTGACACCTAATGGTCTGAATGTCACGGGCACTGATACCCCATGGTATACATGTCATGGACGCTTAAACCCCATGGTAGGAACGTCATAGACACTGATACCCCATGGTATTAATGTCATAGACACTGACATTCCAAGGTATGAATGTGATAGACACTGATACCCCATGGTATGAATGTCATGGGTGTTGACATGCATTAGAATTAGTTTCAGTAGGATAGAAAAAAAAATAAAATGTATTTTGAAACCAACCAACCTGAATGCGCTGTGTTTCGGTGAGTCCAATATCAAAGAAGACCACGCGCATGTCAGGCATCAAAGGAGAGACAACCGTGTGCAGGTTGTGAAACATCGCCTGCATCTCGTCGTAGTGATTGGACGAGCTGGCAGACAGGAAGATGACGTCACTCTCAGGGATGGATTCTGACAGAGACAAGATGGCGTCCACTTGTTGATTGGAGAGCGTCAGGTTTTCGGACAGCAGAAGCTCAAACATTAGGACGTCGCTCCTCCCAGAAAGTTGTCGTGGGCAGTTACAAACTCATATAAGAAATCAATATATTTTTGAAGTTTTATTGTATTTCACGAAGTGCGGAGGTTTTTACCAGTAGGTAAATAATCATTATAAAAAATAATATATCATTTGCAACTATCTTAAGCTTTTACATTTTAGGCTTATAACTAAAATTGTATGGAAACAGATTCCGGTTGACCTTTAATCTGTTACACTAGGTGGGTGCAAAGATGATTGACAGCCCAGTTGATCTATGGTTTTCTGCTGAGTTGAATTTCACATTATCATACAAGTTAATAATCTCAAATCTATTTCAATCGCATAGCAATATGTATCAGAAATGAAGTTACTGGCCATACAGACCTCTACGTAATGTAACATTATGCAGTTGCAGCCATTATCGTGAGCAAATATCTTCTGAGCCCGAAATTATAAACCATATTAAGAAGTCCTTTACTCGGAAATTAAAAAAAAAAACCCATAAAATTAAAGTTATTATTTTATTTTGCAATAACATTACAACGTCCCACCCACTTTTACACCACAAATTTATTTCAATAACTATTTCAGAAAAAAAGAATAAAATATTACGCACAAAACGCACTTGCGATATTAAAAAAAAAAAGAATCTCATTTAGCGCAGTTATCGGGAATTTTATTTCGTAAAATCAGTGTTCTAATATTTCCCTCATCTTCCCCTTGAAAAAAAATATTTTTAGGGGTTATGGGCGGGGGAGGGGGAGGGGGAGGGTTAGGCTGAAAAATTTGAAAGAATGTTTTGTTATCAGCACCGAGCCTATGTACCAAGTTTCAGCTTGATAGCCTGAAGGGAAGTGGGTCGATTAGCCGCCCGACGATTTTGCCAGCCAGAAACGCACGTACAAAAGCAATATTAATATAAAAGATGTAAAAAGAAAAGGATTAAAGCGTGGTGGCCTTGATAGTGATTATAGTGATTATAGTGATGATATTGTTAATGATGATTATGTTGATTATAATGCTGACATTGATTTTTTGTTGGAATTGATTAAAGTGATGACACTGATTATAGTGAAGACATTGAATTTATTTCACTTAAACTTTTGATGTATCTGTTGCTATGGCAAACAATGACAGGGGATCATGTTGAAATGTAGGATGATGTTTATAAATTGGTGCTAGGAATGCTTTTGATGCTAATATTGAGAACATTGACATAAGACAACAAGTTTCTCATCTCGCCAGGCATTTTAGCTTTTCGCGTATACAAAGATGGACTTTTCAGCTACAAAAAATGGACTTCCCAGCTACACAAATATGGACTTCACAGCTACACAAATATGGAATCGCAACTACACAAATATTGACTTCCCATCTACACAAAGATATTGAAAGCAGATCTCAAAATAATTCCACGTGACCTGTACTAGTAAAGCTGTTGATGGTCAATCAGGATTTAAACAAAAAACAACAACAACAAAGCAGTTTATTTACCTGGATCATCGCTCTTGCATGGTGATATCGTCTGCAGCAATGGAACGTCACCTGCTCCGATTAACTGAGCGAAAAGAGACTGATACATGTCATCAGCGTACCAAGCCATGCCCGACTTGGGGTCAATCCACACTAGTGGACTGGTTTCTGTGATTTGCCAGAATAAAGGTTCTTCTTCATGCGATGGGTCTGCATGTGAAATGGTGGTGTCTCATCAGAAAAATACGTCGATCTAAGTCTAGACTTAAACTGAGAACTCGTTCACGTGTCTTCAGCTAGGAAATCGGTATCGTTCCTTCAATAAGGGACGAACTGTGTGTGTGGGGGGGGGGGGCACGGGACATGGACCTCAGGGAGTTCTTAGAAAAAAAATACTCGCTTGAAACAGAAATAATCACCAAGCCTTATTTTTAAGGTGCTCCAGCCTCATGCGCCTGAGCCCCACGCATATAACCACACACACGCAATCCCTCCAACTATCCTAACATAAAGCAAAACCAACACGCTAAATTTATCATTGCCCCTCAAAGGGTAGACCGCTGGCACGTGTAGGTTCTAACAACATCGCCACTCACAAGGGTAGACAGCTGACGTGTGCAGGTTCTGAAAACATCGCCACTCACAAGGGTAGACAGCTGGCGTGTGCATGTTCTGACAACATTGCCGCTCACGGGGTGTACTTATGTAATAAACCCGCAAAGTGGCCATGACGTTCAACTGTATTTGCCAAAATTTGTGTATATATTATTTATTTTAAACTAGCGAGTACCCGGCATGCGTTGCAATGCCACTCAAAAAAAGTGTTTGCATGTTAATTATGTTTCTTCACGAGCTTTTAAATACTCAAAGTTTTTCTTGTTTTTCCATCTGGTATACACACGAATAAATCAGAAGATTTTCCGACGCAAGAGCAGGACACATACATCTGTCCATGGGCGAAGCATGAGTTTTCCAAATTTAGTTCTGAAACTTGTAGCGATTGTCCCTAAGCTTTGTAGATAGTCATTGTAGACGCGTGTCGCATCGGAAACTGTAGGCGTTTGAATTCAAATGGCATATCTGTTGGAATCATTGGTTTGAATGGCAAAAGTACATCACCTAGTTTAAATTTTCTATTTAAAATAGTAACTTCAGTGTAAACAATTTCGGAAGATTCATTTGAACAAACGTACCGTACCTAATGCTTCGATATCAAAGTGCGTTTCTCGTTGCAAATCAAGAGTGAAAAGTTTGTTTGCAGATCGATTTCGAGAGGTCATTCCCAACTCATGAATCATCAATCGATATGAATAGTATTTCATGGCACTGACTTTCTTATTCGAATTTCTCAATTTGATGTCAAAATGATATCCATCTTCTTCTTGCCAAAATAAAATAGGATATTGCAATCAAACGTATGAGCGATGAGTTTCTGAGACTCGCTGAACATCCCCACTTCTGCGATGAAGAATTATATCACTTGAGTTAAATTCTTCGCCAACTTTAACGATTGCCACTTCATCAATTGTTGGTGCATTGTATTGCCTTTCATGTTGGCCGACAGGTGTTTAGTCTGCTCTAACTATGAATTTGTATTCATCAGTCGGCATCTTTTCAAGTGCAATTCTGAACATTTGAATTAATTCATTGTGTTGCATTAATAACTTTTGCATTGCAGCGACGATTTCTCGTTTAGTGCCCGTATTGATATGACAACGTTGATCGATTTGTTCATTAGTATTCCCATGAAATCATTTGTAGACATTTGTGATCTGTGTTTGCATTGGCACCAGAGATCCTACATGATGGTAAATTTGGCCTTGCACTTTACTTAAAATGTTGGCATGCAATTCTCGTGCACGATATTTGTTGCACCCAACGATGTAATTTGGAAACATGAATTGCACTTTCGTATGTTTGCCAAGAAATGTTTCGATTGGCTTGTTTCACCTGATACCATCGTTGATAATGGTTCTGATGGTGAATGTAATTCTGGTAATTTCATTTTCTCATCCGCGCAGCAAAGTCCCGGTGTTTCGTTTTTAAATTTGAGGGCACTGCAATACACGCATAATTGACCTATTTTTCCAATAACCACACTTGGATTAAGACTGTAATCATAATTAGCATCGTAATTGAATGTACTAAGATTTAATTCAGCGTGCAGTGTTCGTCTGGATCGAGCAGTGCGTACTCTATCGGAATCCAGTCTTGTTTCTCGCTGCTCGAATGATTCAGACAAACGGGTTTCAGCATTGCTTACTCGGCCGGTTTTGATTCTTGGTTTCCGTGGCTCGACTGTTTCAGGTGAACGGTATTGAGCATTGCGTACTCGAGTTGATTCTAGTCTTGCTTTCCGTTGCTCAACTGTTTCGAAAGATCGTGACTACTTTTCCTTTCGTGCTTGAGGTTTAGATTGACCCAAAACTTTTTTTGTGTGGCATAATTGATTTGACAGCGAAATTATTGCTTTGTGACATCTGTTATTAGCAATGGTATTTCACAATTAATACAACTTGTTAGGTCACAAACAAAATGAAATATCGCTGTTTGTATTTGATTCAATTAATTTACAATATTCCTAACGTTCATAATTTTCACACGTTAGGATCTCCCATCTTTTTACATGAAAACCTCGCACAATAGGTACGTTCATTGTTGTCAGGAGATTTCCAGGTGTATAGTTTCTCATTAATTTATAAATCGTAAATTCCAGCGGTAAAAAAATGACCATAGTTCAATACCTACGTTGTCAAGTGTGTTATTTAATTACTTGAGAAACCATCGATTCATGTAAAACGTCTTTACATAACACAAAACAACTCCGAAATTATAAGACAATATTGAAAAAATACTCTTAGTTGAAAAAAAAAAACACGCGATTTCGATGTCATTTCCGATTTTAAAATACGTCACAAAATTCAAGCTTATTTATACAAATAACAAAAATACTTTCTACACTAAAAATGCAAAAACGTGTTTTCTCTGCTTTACTACAAATGTGTCATTTGTTCAAGGGCGGTAGTGTTGATATCTCCGTTAAAAATTATATTGATGAAGCTCATTAAAAAAAAATGAATTTAGGGTCCCAAGCCCTAATTGGAATATTGTACAATGGATGTACTAAATTTGAAAAATTTGCAGGCGGATTCAGTTACTTCCACACATGCAATAGCTCTGTTTGAAATTATAGTTACAAAGCTCTTAGAAGAAAAAATGAAATTAGGGTCACTGGCCCAAACGGAATATTGTAAAATGTTTTTTTCTAATTTAGAAACATTTTCGGTAGTGCGCATTTCACTTGACCCAGTTTGATCACAATCGAATGAATGGTATAGAAATGCATACGATAATTATATAGATACTAGAACTGTGGAAAACGAATTTAGGGCCCCCCACCACAAATGGAATATTGTAGAATTGTTGTATCACTTCAGAAACCTACTTCATATGTCAGATACTCAATTTAATATCACTATTTGTATTTGATCAAAAAGCTATCCATTCATGCTTTAGCTCTGTTTGAAATTATAGTTGTATAGCTTGAAATTATAGTTGTATAGCTTATATAGAAAAAAACGAACATAAGACCCCTGTTACAAAAACGGAGTATTTTGAAATGGTTGTAATCATTTAAGAAACCTTTGCGGGCGGGCGCGCGCACAACATCTCTTTAAAATTTATCGCATTGTAATAATGTAGAGGAGCGCATACGGAAATTATTTTTTATAAAGCTCCTAATGTAAGGAAAAAAACACGAATTTGGGGCCAATTGCCAAAAAAAAAAAACGGAATATTTTAGAACCCAATATTACCGAATCTTTTTACGAGACCGAATACCTGTTGTTGAGACCTCAGTTTTATCGCAAGCGCTTGAATGATGTAGGAGCGCATACGGTTTGAAATTATATTTATATAGCTCATTTTTTAAGAAACAAACATAGGGCCCCTGGCTCAACACTGAATATTTTAAAACGGTTGTAGTAATTTAAGAACCTTTGTGGGCGATAGAACAACATCTCACTAAATTTTTATCGCATTCTGAAAAATGGTATAGGAGCGCATAGAAAATTATTTTTTTACAAGGCTCATAAAAGAAAAAAAAAATATGAATTTGGGTCAACGGCCGAAAACGGAATATTTTAAAAGTTTTGCAATAAATGAGTAAAATGGATATGTTTATAGATAAGAACTCGTCAAAGTTTTGTCGCAATCGCATGAATGGTGCAGGAGCGCATACGGTTTGAAATTATATTTATATAGCTCGTATTAGAAAAAAAACGTAAATAGGGCTGCTGGTTCAAAATGGAATAATTTGAAAAGTTTATAATAACTTAAAAACCTTTGCGGCCGTGCTTCCAACATCTCACCAAAGTTTTATTGGAATCGGATAAATGGCGTAGGAGCGCATATGAAAATTATTTTTTTACAAATCTCATATAAGAAGAAATACGAATTAAATGCCAACGGCCGAAAACGGAATATTTTTTAAAAGTGTTTAAATAACATATTAAAATGCACTGAAACAGACACAACAACTCACTTAGTTTTGTAGCAATCGCATGATTGGTGTAGGAGCGCATACGGTTTGAAAATATATTTATAAAGCTCATATAAGGAAAAACGAATATAAGGCCCCTGGCTCAAAACTAAATATTTTAAAACGGTTGTAATACTTCAGAAACATTAACGGGCACGCTCGCAACATCTCACCAAAGTTTTATCAGCATCGGATAAATGGTGTAGGAGTGCATGTGGAAAATAATTTTTACAAAGTTCATAGAAAAAAAAAACGAATTAAGGGCCAACGGCTAAGAACGGAACACTTTATAAGTTTTTACATATTTTATTTAAATGCCCATTTATTTGGATAACAACTGACCAAAGTTTTGTAGCAATCGCGTGAATGGCGTAGGAGCGCATACGAGACATACAGACATACAAACATTCATTTTTATATATATAGATAGATGAAATCCTAGATCTTATTTTACAGCACTGTGATATCTGATTGTAAAAAAAAAAAATATTTATTCACATAAAGATGTACTCACTCACGCTCACAGCCCCTGAAATTTAATAAGAAAATGGTTAAATACATTTTTTATAAGTTTGAACAGTAACTAAAACTTTGACCATTGAAACTGGAATATTGATTGCGACATACTCAAACATTCTGTGGCATAACTTGGGCTTTCTAGAGGCTGTCT